CCATCTCCTGAATGAGTACTTCGCGAACTTCATCAACAGCTAACATTAATTCTTTAAAGACAACAAAATCCTCCATATGTTTAAGGCAGGCCTCTTCCAATACCTCGGTCAATGAGTCGAGGAGTCTCAGAATGCTAGCCGTCTCGGTAAATAGTTTGCTGACCTCGTCGGAAAGTTTTTCAACGGAAGCTGCAGTGCTTAGGGAAAAACTGGCCATTACACGGTTGACTGTTGCCAAGTTCACATAAGTAAGCAGAGCTGGATCCTTCTCAGTAGGGTTTTCAGCCTTCTCGGCACGTCGTCGAAGAGATTCCAAAGAGGTGATGGAGGACTGGATGTTTGTGAATATTTCCTCTAGTCGTCTAAATTCGTCCGTTATCTTGCTAATCAATGAGTTCTTTTTGCCACCACTCATTGCATTTCCACTAAATCGTCACCAGTTTGTCCTAGCTATGGTTCCCAAACCTAAACACAAAATACGCGATTGGATTAACAGAGAAAAATGAAGATTCCGCACAGTAGAATAAAGAGGCAAATAGCGACGTTGACAAGGGAAAGTAAAGACAAGCCTTCTCTAAAATGGTGTAATTTTGCTCTAAGAACTACTCGTACAGATTCCGTGGTTTGTCATAAAAATTCCTGGATGTAGCGTCAACATATCTCGTCACGGTTGCAGGCGGATGATTGCATTACCGTTGGAAAAAGAAATCAGATCAACGTATGTGAAAGACAGATAGCTGGACAAGCCATGACCGAATGGACATAACGCAGTTTGGAATGAAAATAAAGAACCAGATCTGGTAATAGTGTTGTGAGTACGACGGGTTCCGCGACACAACAACTGCTAGGTAGTGGTAACCAGCCTGTGTCAATTTTACTGATGTAGCAAGGGCCATTGACACTGTAGGCCGCGAATGAGTATGACCGGAGTTACTTCTACAGATGGTTAGACAACTACATAATGTGAAGAATTTTTTCCCGGGTATGAATTGAAAACAGGCATGTACAGCAGACTTTATTGGGGCCAATAAATTTCGCGAGGGTTTATCAACTGCAGCCCGTCTCTGCATAACATAGGTAACGAATGGAAGCACACAGCAGTATGAATTTTTTACAGAATGCCAGTGCATAAGAGCAAGGTCAAAGTTCAAAGCAATGAATAATCAGATGAAAGACGTTCCCATAAGCATCATATAGGAAATAGGGAGACGGAATGCTAACAACAAATCACAGTCACGAGTAAGTTGAGGCGTGAAGGTTACCAGGGCAATTGCAGATTGATCACGTGGTCTAACTGCTTGCACAGGTCTGGTTTCTCCCTCCCTATGTAAGCTGCGTCCAGGCAACGCTAGGTTCGAGTTGTATGCGCTCGGACAAGTACTCGAAAAGCTGTTTTAGGGTCGACAACATGACCGCTATCTAACAGGTGTGTTCCGTTATAGACGAACGGGGGTTTTGTTAAAAGCCATTTAGGCAAATGCTCAGCGGCTCTGGTTGCCAATTGCTTTTGCGTTCGCCCAATGTACTTGCATCCGCAAGTGCATGTGAATTCATACACGCAATTTGGGGTGGCGTGCATTGGTAATTAACCGGGCAAATTGCGTGTATGAATTCACATGCACTT